AGGCTCCATCAAATTTTAAGCACATATATCACACAGATTACTGTTATAGGCTTTGGATGCTATCTGACATAGCTATTGGGTTGATGAGCTATTAAGGGGATGATGGTGAGAGATTGCCCCTGAAAGACACATAGAAAGAAATGTCTGTCTCTTAGATTAGATCATCTACAATGTCAGGGTCAAAGTTAGGGTCAGAGTACAGTTCACTTCTGTGGGGCTTTCCTGGTCCATTGGTAAATGGAGGTGTCTTGGCAGAGTGCTTTGAATGCCTTCATTTATAGAATCTCACTTTTCTATGTCATAAAGGAAAGATATAACCGAAGGATGACATTAAATATACTCATTGTCATGGGAACCATTTCTTTCTATGCCCTAATTTGTATTACAATCAGGCAAGGCTAAAGGACAAGATGATATCACAAACTTTTAACTAATGATTGAGGCAAACCTGAGGGCAGAATCTGACAGAACAGCAGCCAGAGATTCTCATGAAAACCTTCAATGAAGAGCAGAGGGGGAAGTGGAGAGGAAGGGAGAAAATGGAGAACTTTTGGCCTGGTTCTCCCAAAAGGACTTCCCTGGAGATGGAAGGGCAGGACATATATTCCCAGGGATTACCTCTATGGAATCCCTTCTCAAGACAGCTAATGTTTTTATTTACCTTAGACAGACATAGTGACACTTTTGCTTCCTTAGACATAGGGCTGGTCCTCTATCACCTACGTCATCTTTTGTGCAGCTATGTTCCTGCACAAGCAGTGGCTTTGCGCATCCTCCAGTTGGAGAATGTGCTCTCTTCCCAGTGCGCCTCTTGTGAAAGGAGCTGTTAACTAAGGTGGGCTCATTGCCTGCATGAGCAGTTTCAGGGATTAGGGGAGCTATGGCCAGAGTTAGGAGTCATGTTTCATTATAATCAGTAGAATCCAGTCCTGGCAGGCCAGGAAGTACCATCACCTGAGGAAAGGACCAGTATCCCCACACTGTGGGCAGGAAATGGAAACCGGACAATCCGTAAGACATTTCCTAAGTGTGATACCATTAAAGGAGATTTTTTCCCAGATAGATGGAAGAATCAACCTGGTTTATTGTGGAAAGGCCAGGGACTAAGCCCTTGACTTCAGAATGAAAAAGACTAAAACATAGTGAGGAGAATTTTTAGTAGGAAGATAGGAATGTATTTTCTCACTTCCTGGTTGACTTGGCAAAATATATTCCAGTGATCTGGCCAGAGTTGAGCATTTCCTGCTTCTTGGCTTCTTATCCAAAGAATTGGAAACTGGGAGCTTACTCCTAGCCCTTGTGATGTACCTGGCAGCCTACCTGCATGTAGTATGCACACAATGTCAGTAGCCCCTTAAACTTTCACCTGCATCTGACTACCTGTGCTCTCATCTCTGAATGATAACACAGACAGAACCATGACCAATAAACTTAATAACAATCAGATCTAGACACTTTCATTCAAGTATATTCCCAATGAATCAAGTACAAACAAATGGGTCAATCTGACCAAAAGTGGCTTGGGGAACATGTACAGTAAAACAAACTGAGTTGTCAAGTGGACTTTCAGAGAGGATTCCTCATTTACCATTTTATACCTATGCATAGTTGGGTGTGCATATGATTAAAGTAAGAGGCATATGGGAAGGGACATGAACAGTGGGAAAATGAATATATGACCTAATTTATCATTCAAACTGAGTAATTCCCCTCACTTCGTTCTTCTAAATTCCCCTGGGTCCCCCAAGAGTACTCTTATTCGTGGGGTCTTCAATCAATCTTGGTAGCAAATCCCTTTATAATTTCTACTATCACTTAGTTACAAATAAAATTATCTTGTTTACTTCACAAATTTGTGAGTGTCTATTCAATGAGAGACCAAGAACCTAGAAATGCCAAACCTAGGCCCCAACTACCACCAATAATGATATTGTATAATAAAAAACCCAGAGAAGGACAGCTATACATTCCAGAGCTGTGGGGAACATTGTCCAGGAAAACCAAGATACCATCATACCAAAACAGCACAATTTGTGTAATTAATGGTAATTAATTAGTTGGGGTCAAATAATAGATCACCTTTCTGTATTCTATTAGACTTTAACATTCCTTTTTGAAAGATCCAGGCTGAGTGGCAGTTTGCACTTGTAAATGAATGAAAATATACTACCTAGAAAATATTTGCATAGTCATGACATTAGAAACTGCACTAATAGGCTTCCAATTTTAAAAATCAACTCAAAATTTAAAATATTTTGTAGTGTGATCTATGACCTACAACATCAGAATTGTCTGAAAGGTTTATCTTTAGAAAGATTCCAGGATCCAGCCCCAGAGACGTGGTACACTATGTGTGTCTATCTATAAGAAGAACATTGCAAGTGATGTTCAAGTATATGTTGAGTGATGTTAGTCTTGGTTGCTGTATTATCCAGGGTTCTCTGGAAGAGCAGAAGTGATAGATATATGCATATTAAATGAGGATTTACTATTTATACAATGTGGTCGTAGTAGTCCAATATCATCTGTATCATACCAGAGAAGCTGAGAAAACAGTAATTGCTCAGTCCATGAGACTGGACCCTTTGCAGCTCCAGTATGTATCAAAGGACTAGAGGATTCCTAGGGAACTTCTAACATTCAGTACATGTTGAAAACCCAAAAAGGCAAAGGAATCAGCAGTAGCAGACACAGGGTCGATGAATGTGCCAGCAACCGTGAATGCAAGTAGGCAAAAGCAAAGCTTTTCTTCCTCCATGTCCTTTTATCCAGGATTTCACCAAAAGATGCTATGCACACTTAAAGGGGTCTTCCCACTTCAAATAATATGATCTAGAAATACCACAAAGAATGCCCAGTTCCAGATTCAGCCAGACTGACAAACAAGATTCGCCATCACAGTTATCAACCTGATTTGATCTTGAGTTGACTAAGAGACAAGGTTCTGGGCAAGACTGTGAGGGTATTTCCAGAAAGGGTTAAGTCAGGAGAGACCTTCCCCCTAGTGGCAACCCAGATATAAAGAGGTCCCAGACACACCTCTGCTTTTGTCTGTTCATCCTTACTCCTTGCTGATCAGTGCAGCCCATCTGTTGCTGCTGTGGCACCGGTTGTTTTACACTGTTACGGGAAGCTAATGTCTTCTACAGAGCTAGTTCCAGGACAGGCTCCAAAGCCACAGAGAAACCCTGTCTCAAAAACCAAAAACCAAAAAACAAAAACAAACCAAAAAAAAACAAAAAAACAAAAAAACAACCAATACTGATGACCAGAAGCCTTCCAGGAGTCCTTCAGGCCTTCAGCAACATGCTGGGATACTGAGGCATCCAGCCTCCTTGACTGAAAAGCTACCAGGTTCTTATTCTCCCTAGTGTGTAAATATTGCTGGATTACCAAGTCCATATTGTGTAAACTAATCTAATAAATCCTTTAATAGTATATATTTATTCTATTAGTTCTGTTCCTCTAGAGAACTTACTTATACACAAATTACATACACTACATTTTGGAATTCACAGCTATAAAGCAATAATCTCTCCAATTCTTATTATGCATCCTAAGAACAAAATGGTTTTGAGTTGGAGTACACACCTCCAATATATATTTATTTATAAACTATATGGGTATATAAATATATATCTTCTATAACTATGACTATTAGTATAGTAAAAGTATAAAATGGAAATTATAAAGGATAAGAAAAATGGCCTGATGCTCACTATTTCCTTCTGCTCAACCAAAAGGCACACAAAAATTGAGGCCAGTTTTTTAAGTTGGAAGGCATTATTAAGAAAGAAGGATAAGAACAAAATCACAGAGATGTCAATTCAACAGCCAGAACTTTTCTAGAAGGTTACGCTGCTTCAAATAAAAAATAGAAACAGAAAACAGTAATTTTCAGCATACTGGAAGAGCAACCAGGGAGCTTCAACAAAGGGAAGTCTGATTACCAAAAGAGAAGTGTGATTGATAAATCAGACATATAAGCAACATGAGTAAAAAGACAAATAAGATATTTTAGGAGTCTACAACGATCAAGGATAGCAAAAGTCGTCACAGTCTGGCATGTATCACAGATTTTAACGAGGGGGGAAAAAGCAGGTATTGTTAGAATGATCACAGGGCTAGAGACCCCCAAACAAGAATACAGTTGAAGTCATCAAAATAATACAGAAGTTATATGAGCTTGATTCCAGCAAAGAAATGAGAAAATGAAAAGATATCCATATGTTTAGCTTCTCATTTAGGAAACATAATGAAATCCATTTAATAGGAAAGAGAGTGTGTTAATCACTGTGTTAAACGCCAGGGGACTACTGCATACTAAATGCGTGATGAGGAGTAGCAGTATCACTCCGGTGTTTCTAATGACCATGGAGAGGCTCCATAATCTACAGTTAAATGGCTGAGCATCCCTGCAGGGCAATACTGAAGTATAAATGAAAACTCTCAACTTATTCTGGAACACTTCCTCTACTCTGGCAAAGTCATCTCAGGTTTTCAAGAACACACTGCAGTGATGTAATGGGGAAAACTGAGTCAGCACAGGGAATTCCCTATCCAGGCAGCTGTCAAGAAAGAAGCCAAATAGCAGGGATGTCTCCCAAAAATGTGGCATACCTATACAGTCTTTTATCTAGTGTCTAAACCACAGTTTTCTCTTATCTGCTAAGTGTTCATATGAAATAATATGAACAAGATCCAGCACTTAGCGGGAGAAAGATCAGGAGTTCAAGGTCATTCACAGCCGTCAGCCTGTGCTCCATGAGACCCTGTCTCACACATGGACATCACATACAGGTGAGTGGGAGAAAGGACTGATACATACATGGAAAATCTGGCATATTTTGTTATAAATGCAGTAATTACAACGTTGTGATTATAACAGTCATCTGGAAATCAAACTGATCTTTTGGGGGCATTGACAGTTTTAAACTTTATATTGAAGAAAAAAATCCAGCAGACCCAAGATTCATAAAAAATGAAGCTTGAGAGCTCACCTTTCCACAACCATACGGACAGTCTGAGTGAGGTCTGGATTTGCTGCCTGGAGACGTTTCCACAAAGACCATACAAATTCTTTGTCAGCCTTAAGGAAATAAAAAAACATTTTAAGCATGTTGATTCTTGGTAAGAGATGGTATTCAATTTAAATATGAAAAAATGAATGGCTACTTCTATAATTATACCAATGAACCCATTAAAAGTGCAGCAGGAAGACACCGGAGATGGCTCAGTGGGTAAGAGCACTAGTTGCTTCTCTAGAGGACATAGTTCAATGCCCAGCACCCACATGGAGGCTTATAGTCATGTGTAACCCCAGTCCCAGGAGATCTCATGCCCTCTTTTTGTTTCCGTGGACACTGCACACACATGATACACAGACATAGAAGCAGGAAAAATACACACACAGGGACACACATGCACGTGCACACATACACATACACAAATAACTTTTAAAACTATCTAAAAGTATGTTAGGAAAATCTTATTTTAAAAATTCCTTACACTGATAGCCTACTCTCCAATACTGACAGTGCTCCACCCACATTTTGTGTTGAAAATGCTGAAAATCAAAATCAATGTAAAGTTACTCTAAGAGGAAGCTGTCCTTCCTCTACTGCTGTTTTCCAGTTCCCTGGATCACAAAGTCCATGAGAGAACTGACTCCACTTTCCTACCTCAGTCACTCTGCAATCTTTCAATAAGATTTCTTTCCCAGGGGAAATAGGCTGAGAAGCCCCTACTCATGTCTGAGAAGCTGTGGACAGTTGATGGCTTCTCCAGGAGGGAACATTTTCCTTAAGGCTGTGGCCCCTGGAAGGTCAACTATGCTCCAGTGGGTGGGCCCACACAGGAATATACAGACAGCACAAATTGGACTCAATGTGTTATTTTGAGAGAGAGAGAGAGAGAGAGAGAGAGAGAGAGAGAGAGAGAAATCAAGAAGGAGACAAAGAATCAATAAAAAAAATTTAGACTGAAAGAAAATATTTATAAAAGACATATCTAATAAAATACTTGTATCCAAATATACAAAGAATTCCTAGAAAGCAGCAATCAAAACACAAGGTGGTTTAAAAAGGAGCAGAAGTTCTCAACAGATGTCTTGCCAAAGATTACACCTGGTAAATAAATTTCCCTCTATACCAATATGTTAGCATTTCCCACGTTCTTCTACCCTGTCGAATCCAATGGACAGTTTCAGACTTACTGGACCTGTCAGTTATTAACTCTGGTTAATAGAAATCACTTTGAGGAGCTTTTTTAAAAAAAAATATAATGACCTAGAGGTTTGGAGTAACTGGTCCTAGATAATATGGTCCAAGTAACCAGAATTCTTTCAAAGCTCTGAGATGCACTCAAAGAGTTAATGCCCTACTTGACCTTACATAAGTGACGTAGTTTTACAAACCAACCTTCTATATTTCCTCTACCTTTCAGACTTGTATTGCCAACTGTCTACTTGGCAACTCTAAATGAATGTCTAAAAGGCACTTCTTAAATTTAACTTGGCTGAAATAAAACTCTTGATCCATAACCCTCTCAGAAACCTGCCCTTCTGCATGTCAGAAATGTATCATCATCTCCTTATTAATTCAAACACCTAAAATGTAGAGAGAAGTCAGTCTTGGTGACTCTCTTTTCCCCAAACTTTCTATACACCAGAAGGCTTATCTTCAAAATATAACCTTATTCTAGCCACTCTCAACACCTTCACCACTATCACCCTAATCCAAATCCATTCCAACTCTCGTTTATATCTCTACAAGGCCTCCTAGTCTCACAGGTCAAAAGTCCCCAATGGAGTCCCACTAGATGGGACAAATAATCCCAACTTTCTGCCAAAACTCTAGAACTTCATGTCATTTCATCTCATATGCATCTCACCAAGATGTCTATCATGCTCCCCTATCCTTAGGCTGACTTCGTCTCTCTGCTTGAACCAGGGCCTTTGGGCAGGCTATACCATCATCCAGGCCTTTATGTAGATTATTACCAAACTTACCTCAAGGCTTTACTTAAGTATCACCTCCTTAAAAGAAGTTGCCGCTGGCTGTTTATAATTTAAGCCCCAAGTCTGTTAAACCCCTGTCCTATTACATTTTTTATTTATTTTTATTTTTTCTTATTCGGGGTAGGGAGAATGGGACACACTCCTGTTACAGTGTGTGTTCTGGGAGGACGACTTTTGAGAGTTGGTTCTTTCCTTCTAGTGTGGATGGACGAACCAAAGAGCACTCTTGCCCACCAAGTCATTCTACCAGCTTCCTAGTTTGCTTCCTATCGCTATGATAAAGACACAATAACCAAATGCAACTTTGGGGAGGAAATGATTTACTTGGCTTGCATGTATAATCACAGTCCATCACTAAGGAAAACAAGGCAAGGGTTCGAGCGGAACAGGAATCTGCAGGCAAGAGCTGAAGCAGAGGCTGTATAGGAATGCTGCTTGCTTGCTTGCTTGCTCAATCTGCTTTCCTATAAAACCCAGGAACACCAGCCTAGGGGTGGCCTACCCACAGGGGTCTGGGCCCTCCCATAGCGGTCATTAATCAAAAAACATTACTCATTAGAGTATAGCTCCTAACTATGTGAGGAACCCAACGACAAGATGAGTTTTCAAGTCGTTTTGTTTTTAATACCTGGAAAAGGCTTCAACATAGCTAAATATATGGTAGTTATAAAATACAACTTAGTTCTCTGGGTAAATATTCTGACTCCCAATTCCATATGCTTCCAAAAAATTATCATTAAATTTGGTAATGAACAAATATGTCTGTCACTTAAATGCCCTAAATAATTTTCATCTGAAACTGACTTAGTAAATGCTGTTGGCTGCTACAACAACCTTCAACACACAAACTTTATAAACCCAACATCATTTTGTTTGACCTGCTAGTCCACAAAGGGGATCGAAAGTGCACATACACATACTGTCCTGCATCCTGTCACAAAAAGGATGCAGTCTAGAAAAATGTGGGGAAAAAAAAAGAGCAAACAATAGGCTGGAAGCAATCTCTAAACAAATGAAATAAGGCATAAAACATCATGAAAATCTGAAAAGATCTAGGAAAATGTTCCATTTAGAACTTATTCCTCTTAATAAGCACAATAGACAGATTTCTTCACACTTAATCAGCCTTTACTATGCTGACTATTGCACGCAGTGTTTTTGCTAATCTGGCGGGGGGAGCAATGCTTGTGTCCCAGAGAGTTGAGATAAAAAAAAATGGTTTTCTTACTTTGGGTTACAATTTCTAAGATTTTGATGCTATATAATCTCAGGAGCTGTGATTTATGGGTTAATAATAAAAATTCACATTTTTTTAAAAAAAAAAACTAAAGGTTTAACTTAGTTACATACCAACTAAGAGCTTAAATATTTTTCCCTAATCTAAGAGCAGGAATCTGGTTTGGCTAGAGCCTTGGTAATGACGGATACTGTCAACCTCATGTCTGGAATTTACTGTAATGTCTCTGATCATCTAACAGTATTAACATTATCAAATCTCAAGAATTGTCATTCCAAGCTAATTAGAACCATTTCTATCTCTTACATTTGCCTCAAATTTTGCAATAATTTCACAGTCCAGGTCTAACCCAAGATCACAAAGGGCAATGCCACACTGGAAGCCACATTTTTAAGGCTATGAATGTGAGCCCAGAGGGACAGTGTAAAATTGTGGGTTGTCTTAGACTGTTACTTTAACAAAAGCCTTTCGCATGAACACACATTGGTAAATTACCCGAGGGTGAGGTTTACAGTAGACAAAACACTTCGGTTCATTGCTATCTTTGGTTTATCCCTTTGCTCTTTCACCAGAGAACAGAAAATGAGAACGAAAATGAAACGGAGATGGTCAGATAGTTGCTCCCCAATCTATTTAACAAAGCTATATTCGAGTTAAACAAGATTCTGTTTTGTTTTGTTTTGTTTTACAGCAAAGACCTATAAAATGGGTGCGAGAACCCAACAGAGCATACTGTAAGGGAATGAGCAAGGTTTTACTAACCTGAACTGATAATACTGCTTTGAAAAGCTGTGTTGGCAGTTCCTAATTAGTGTCTCTTAAAGATAGTGATTTTGTTTTTTAAAAAGACCTGTAATTAAGTGAATGGCATCCTACTTCCTAATCCTACATAAGGTTCAGGCCAAATTTTAGCCGATGGTATAAGACGGCACCCCTCCCCCCCAAAAAAAATAAAAAAATAAAAATAACAAACCCCAGTGCACTAAAGGACAGGAGAGCTTACTTTACTTTACACAAACCCTAAAACTAATCTGGAAAGTAATTTGAGTGCAACTAACTTAGCAAGTGCTTTCCTTTGCCAAGCTCACGTCAAAGTATCTCACACTCATGATCTACGGGCTCTTTCTAAGGGCTCTAAGTTAATAAACGAATACGGAGCACTCTAGGTGTGAACTCCCCCAGTCCCAAGGCTTTCTAAAAACGTGTGCTCGTGTTTGGAACTTAAGTTTAACAGTGTAAGAACAGGGGCAAGTGTGGGTTTGGAATGTAAAGGCAGGCTACTTCATCAGAGTTTTATTTTTGTGACACGGTCCTGTTTATTTCAATTCATGAATGCGCTCCACTCGTGGGCACTGGGTACTAGAATTTGGGCTTGGAGGAAGGCGCCCTTGGAGAGCATCTATCAAAAGGAAACCGGGGTCTGTAGAAGGAAGAGCAGAGCCTGCAGCCCAGGCGATGGGCAAGCTGGGCATGGAGCCTGGAGGGCGCATCCCGGGAAGGTTCCCTAGATGCCCAGAACACGAACAAGTGAGCGAACAAGTGAGCGGGCGCCCGGGCGGCGGTGGTGGGCACGGGCTGTGGACGGGAAGGCCGGCGGCCAGTCCTGATACCTGACACAGGGCCAGCTCCTCCTTTAGGCTGCTCAGCTCTTCCTCCAGAAGCTGCATCCGAGTCGCCTTCGCCTCCAGTACCGAGAGGCCCTCTGGCTCCCATGACCCCGGGGGCGCGCTGGCGACTGGAGCGACAGCGGCTCCGGCCAGGCCCGGCCCTCGCCGGCCCCCTGTCCCTTCTTCGCCCCTCCAGACTAGGTCGCTTTTAGCCGCGAAGACCTCCCTCGCGGCGTCCGCCAGCCCCGAGGCCTCGCTACGCACGTCACGCACCGGGCGCGGGGACCGGCGGCCCGACTGCCGTCCCGGGGGCGGAGGCAGTGGGGAGGACGGCGAGCGCGCCGCCATGGCCGCGGCGCCTAACGGGTCAAGTTCCCGCTTGAAAACTCCACCTTCCCTTCCCCATCCTGAGGAGCCCGGGCGGCTGGGCTGCGCATGCGCCCAGCGTTTCCCGCCTCGTCCCGCGCTCGCGGCTCCGAGCCGGCTTCCCGCCGGCGAACTCCAGGCGCGGGTCACTGAGCTGCGCGTGCGCGCCGGGCCGGGTGATGCTCGACCGGCGAGGGCTTTGCTGGTGCCGCCTGAATCCCGAGTCCGGCAGCGCCTGGGTTCCCTGCCCGCCTAAGACCCTGGCCTCCGCCAAGGACCTGCTTACTTCCCTCCTCTTCCAGCCTTCCTGCCAAGCCCCATCCCCCAGTGATCCTGAACTGTGAATTCCTCCTCCTCCAAGGCTTCTGCCAGCTCGTTTTTCACGTTTCATTGACCGCCCTCAAGTGTTAGTTACCCCGCTAATCTCCCCAACGCTGTTGTAAGCTCCTTGAGGATCTGGGAATAGGTTTTAGAGTTAAGTGTTTTCTTCACACCCCTTGGCAACGCCGCCTTCTGTGCGGCTGACATCCAGCCCACTGAAGTCAAGGAGACGCGGAAAGCCTTGTGCTGAGCTGGGACTATCGAGCAGGCTTCTTACTTGAATTATGATCCTTCTGACACCCTTTGTCTTTTGTTTTGCAAGAGTCATGGTTTCCTTTGAGTCTTTATGTCAATTTCTTTATCCCTTGGCTGGATATCAGAGCGAGTGTGTCCTACAAGGCCCAACCGCTTGGTGTCCTTGGACCGATCTAAAGTCAGCAACGGAGAGTGATGAAAGAAATGAGACAGACTTACTTACTTTCTCTTTTAGTCTCTGGCTTTTTCTTCCTTGCTTTGTTATAAACTTCAAATACCTAATAACCTTCCTTTATCCTTAAAGCAAGCACTTCCTCGCTATTTCTAAAGTTAATAAAGGCATGCATGCTGAACTTACTTTCACAGAAAGATAGAATTTCTCTTTCCTTGGAAGAATGCTTTCTTCCAAGTATACGGGATACTTGGAAGACATTTGAAATAGGGATTGAACCCACCGTGAAGTGAACATTTTCAAATCCTTTATGCCAGAATTTAGTCTGCATGCCAGGAGACAGCCTTCAGCCTTCCTTCCCACTCAAGGTGAAAACCTTGTGAAATATTTTAAAGAATTATGTTTAAATGACATGCAGGTTTAGGGACCATGGTCCAGTCCCTGACGTGTTTGCTGCAAAAGCTTGAGGGCCTGAGTTCAATCCCCCAGAGCTCACTATTTTTTTAAGCTGGGCACCATGGTGTGGTGTTGTGGAATATTTGTACACTTCAGGTGAACATGTGTTACTGTGATTGGTGTAATAAAAAGCTGGATGACTTATCTAGGCAGGAGAGATAGGCAGGACATACAGGCAGTGAGAGGAAGCGAAGAGAGGCGAGGTGCACAGGAGACCGCCATCAAGAAAAAAATGGACACAATGAGTCAGACACTCAGAATGGGAGAGAGGTAAAAGCCATGTTGTAAAACAAAGATTAATAAAAATATGAGTTGATTTAAGTTGTAAGAGCTAGTGGGACAAGCCTAAGCTAATGGTCAAGCTTCCATAATTACATCTCGCGTTGTTATTTGGGAGCTGGTGGCCTATTAAATCTTGCTACATGTTAGCATGCCTGTAAACCCAGAACTGAGGGGACACAGACTAGAAGATCCTTGGGACTCTCTGGCCAGCTACTCTAGCCAAATCAGCATGTTCCAAGTTCAGTGGGAGAGTGGAGGGCGACTGAAGGAGACACGCGACCTCAGGGCTCTCCACACATAAGTACCTAATGCAGACACATGAACACATTCATACACAAAAAAGGAAAACTACATAAACCTGTTCCACAAATAGCTACCATATTGAACGTGTAACACTTGCTTAGTCCGATGATAATTTTCAAATATAAATTCACTTCATTATTATCACACGTTAAATTACATGTCGTCTGAATATTACTATTTAAGAAACTGAGACTTCAAACAGAGATCATTGTAATTTCTCTGACTTTCCATGTCTGATAATAGGGAAGCGAGAGTTTAAATCCACTTAACTCGAAAATCGATGTGTTTGATCTCTATGGCTATTTGAAACAAAGCTTTAGGTTCTAAAAATATATGAGATTTCACTGGGATTAGCACTGGGAATTCAAACCATATCATTCACAGGTTTGACTTGAAATAAATACAATTGAATCCTACTGGTTATTTCTTATTTGTTCATTTCGTTTCACCCTAGAAAGATTCTTTAAAAAGCAATAAAATATTTTCTATTGTGTTTTGTATTGTGCTCAGTTCAATTTTTCAACTTAATATTTCAATTAAATTCAATATTTCAGTTGATTGATATATGATAGATAGATGATTGATAGATAAATAGATAGATGATAGATAGATAGATAGATAGATTGATTGATTGATAGAAGATAGATAGAAGATAGATAGATGATAGATAGATAGATAGATAGATAGATAGATAGACACATAGATGATAGAGAGATGATAGCTGCAATACAGATATATAGATGCAATATGTATATACATACACAGATACAAGACAGACAGACAGACAGATAGGTAAATTCCCCAAAGGATAATAACTTGAATCTGTGACTGTGCAAATACTTTTGTGAGATTTTATTATGGCAATATACACACAACATTAATTCCAGCATTTAGGTGGCAGAGACAAGCCACATGATCTACATGAGTTTGAGGCCAGCCTGGTCTACAGAGTGAGTGTGAGGACAGGCTCCAAGCTACACAGAAAAACCTTCTCTCAAAAAACAGAAAAAAAAAAGCCAAGAACCTATGGTAACAGAATGTCATGGTGCCTTTCATCTTCAAAGACATAGGCATACAAACTGTCGCCTCCATTATCAGTGGATGCCATTCTGGGTGGAAGATAATATGCATGTTTTGCATTTGAGTAACATTTTGCACAATACTTTGTCAACACTGTTCAGAATACAGTCCCAGGTTCCCTGAGGAAGTTAATCAATTCTATAATACGGCAAGTCATGTGGTTTCCACTCTTTATTTTAACACAGAGTAAGGAGGTGACACCTGCTATGGAATAGTCCTTCTATATACTGTGTAAATTACAGCGTGATTGCTTTACTAAAGAAGATGACTGGTCAATAGCTGGACAGGAGATGGTTAGCCAGGAAAACCAGATTAAGATACTGGGAAGAAGAGCAGTATCAGAGGTGTTGCCAGCGAGACACAGAGAGAAAACGGGAGATGCAAGATGAAAGAGAGGTAACGCCACATGGCAGAATGTAGAGTAATTTAAATGGGTTAATTTAAAATATAAGAGTTAGCTAGTAATAATCCTGAGCTATTGGCTGGGCATTCATAATTAATATTGAGTCTCCATGTCAGTTATTTGGAAACTGGCAGGCAGGAAAGAAAGTCTGCCTACAGACACCCTCCTTTCACTGCCTTCTTATCCATGTTTGCATTTCTTTTTCCCTCCATACATGGAATGGTTAACCATGGTCCTGGGTACTATAACTGAATATTCTTTGCCCCTATGGCAATATTACTAAAGTATTCCATCCTTCCATCTATATGACTTCCCTGGTTTTACCCATAACATGAAAGCCTTACTCCACTACCACAGTTCTGATTTAATATTTCTCTCTCAATGCTGTTTACCTATTCTGCCTATATAATAAAGCCACCTCAATCTCTACACAAAAACAGACAGACAGACAGACAGACAGACAGACACACACACACACACACACACACACAGGGTTCTCTGTTTGAAAGTAAGTATTGGTGGCTACTAAACAATTATTACTTTTTTCCCAAAGAAGGGGGTTTTATAAGGCAATAGCACTATTCCTACACCAACAGAGCAACTGAGAACTAAATCTTCAATGCATGGGCTTGTGGGTCCATTCATAGTCAAACCATAACATTCCTTCCTGGTGCTCAAAGGTTTATGACCATCCCAGAATGCAAAATAAAATTCATTCAATCCCATGCCCAAGAGTCTTCAAAGTCTTATTTCTAACATGGTAGAAAAATCAAACAAACCAGAAAGTTCAAACGGAAAATCTTCTATGAGGCTTAATCTTTTAGCTGTGAATTTCTGCAAAACAAGCAGCAAACTCACAGACAGAGAGTAAACATCGCCACTCCAAAAAGTAGGGCTAAGGTCTAAGAAAGAAGAAGTGGGACAAAAGAAAGAGCCAGAAGGTAAACATTGAATCCATGTCTGTCATCCCAGGCACATGGCATCATGATGTGAGTTCCAACAGCTTGGGCAGGCCCATCCCTCTAAGATTGCCATTTGTAGCCCACATTGGGCTAGCTCCATCGTGGCCAGTGGCCCTCCTCCATTCATAGTCCATGTTACTGGCATTCCACCCATCTCTTGACCCTAAGCCTTCCTTTGAAATTTTTGTTGATAGTGTATGACCTAGTAACTCTTGCCTGCAAAGCCAGCATTCCATGGACAACTTAAGCATAGATCTCTGAGTGGCTGCATAAGAGAGAATGATAAACCCTAGATGAACAATTCCCTAAATGGCCCTGCAGGAATGGGTCCACTCAAAAGTTCTTTTCTTCTCAAGGAAAAGTCTTTCAAATGCATTTAATCTTTCATACCTTCAAGCCAATGAAGGACGAGTAGTAGTCTAGCCAGTTCCTACGATGCCCTGAAGTCATCATTCTTCTTGTCCCAATGCAAAGTACTCGGTTTCTTTATAATGGTGCAAATCTCTTCAGAAACCATGCATCCTTTAGTCCATACTTTACCTTTTTAACCAAATTGCAAATTTTTCAAGTCTTTCTGTTCTGCTTGCTGCTCTCTGTGTTCACCGTAGCTGTTGTAAATGCAGCCAGCAAGAAAGTGTGTCAGATCCTGGATGCTATGGTATCTTAAAAGTGTCTGGGCCCACATAGAGTGTCATACAAAGTCTTAGGACATGGACATAATGTACATATGTCTTTGGCTGAAACAGAGTGTATACAGTCTTTCCAAATCCCAATAGAGTCTTCATTCCAGTCTGTAATGTCTTGAACATAACCT